CCCCCGCCCCGCCCACCCCGGCTGTTTATTTATGCAGACGTCACCGGGCCGGCCCCGCCCCCCGGCATCTCATTAAGCGAGTGTGTTCCTCTCTCCCTGTCAATAATCTCCGCTCCCAGACTACTCCGTTCCTCCGGATTTCGATCCCCCTTTTTCTATCTGTCAATCAGCGCCGCCTTTGAACTGAAAAGCTCTCAGTCTAACTTCAACTCACTCAAATCCGAGCGGCACGAGCTCCTCCTGTATCTTCGGCTTCCCCCCCCTTTGCTCTTTATATCTGACTTCTTGTTGTTGTTGGTGTGTGTGTTTTTTTACCCCCCTTTTTTATTTATTATTTTTTTGCACATTGATCGGATCCTTGGGAACGAGAGAAAAAAGAAACCCAAACTCACGCGTGCAGAAGATCTCCCCCCCCTTCCCCTCCCCTCCTCCCTCTTTCCCCTCCCCAGGAGAAAAAGACCCCAAAGCAGAAAAAAGTTCACCTTGGACTCGTCTTTTTCTTGCAGTATTTTTCGGGGGGGGGGGCAAAACTTTTTGGGTTTTTTTTTTTTTTGGCTTTTCTTTCTCCTTCATTTTTCTTCCAAAATTGCTGCTGGTGGGTGAAAAAAATGCCGCAGCTGAACGGCGGTGGAGGAGATGACCTAGGCGCCAACGACGAACTGATTTCCTTCAAAGACGAGGGCGAGCAAGAAGAGAAGAGCTCCGAAAACTCCTCGGCAGAGAGGGATTTAGCTGATGTCAAATCGTCTCTAGTCAATGAATCAGAAACGAATCAAAACAGCTCCTCCGATTCCGAGGTAGGAAAAGCCCCTCGGGCTGGTGGGGTTCTTAATCTATTTCCTGGGCTTGGCAAATGTTGCTTAATGTTGCTGAAAGGGGAAAAATCGGGGCTGGGGCCGGCGGCGGGACGCCGCGGGGCCGGGCGGGCGGCGTGTGCGTGTGGTGTGCCACCATTGCAAAAACTTGTAACCCTGTTTTTCTCTCCCATCCCAAACCCCCCCACCTCGCTGATTCTTTTTCTCCCCCTTCTCCCCCCTCTGCGTGGCGTTTGCCCCTCGCCCTCCCCACCTCCACCCCTCCGGGAAGGCGGAAAGACGGCCTCCGCCTCGCTCCGAAAGTTTCCGAGATAAATCCCGGGAAAGTTTGGAAGAAGGTGAGTACGCCCCTAATCAGAATCCTGTTGCTCTGCTGTTATTGTCAGCCACTTGTGGAATTTTTAAAGCAATAACAATTTTGATTTTAAATTATGGCATTATTAAAGTTATTTTCTTCCCTGGCCAGAACATAGCTATTGATGCTTGTCTCTGAAGGACTTGGCTGTAGTGGAATTCTTTGTTGGTGTCAGAAGAAATGTTTCTGTTCCTTGGCACACTGAGAGTCAGAGGACCACCAACCGCCCCACCGCACCTCTTTCTTCCTCCCTCCCTCTCCCCTCCCTCCCCGCCTCCTCCCCTCCCCGCCTCCCCTCCCCCTCTTGTGGCCCAGGCAGCCCGAAACTCTCCAAACTTTTCTGCCTTTTGTGGACTGGATTTGTTTGCGCTTCGCCATGTTCTTGCTTTCAGTTTGTGGCCTCGTGATGTTGGGGAGACTTTTCTTTCCAAGCAGGGCTTTGTTGGTTGGGGGGGAATCAGAAGAACTTTTTTTTGCGCTCTGATTCCCCCCGCCCCCTTTGGTGGTGGTGTTTGTTTCTTCACCCTGGGAAGATGACTGTGTGGCTCTTTCTTTTCTCCCTCTCCCTCTCTCTTTTCCTTCCCTCTTCTGTGGCGTCTTGGGCTTTCCCCGGTTAACCCCTTGGCTGCCGCTGCCGGGGACTGAGTTAATGGGCTGCGCCCGACGCGCGGGGTAGAGTGGATTGTCCTCCAGGCGTTGGACTTGAGAACTAGCGGGCGCGCGGAGCCCGGGGCCTTGGAGAAGCGCCTCGTCTTTCTCTTTCGGCCGCTTATTTGTTTAGCTTTCTAGTGGCGATAGCTGGCTCTCAGCCCTCCTTCCCTTTTGCCCTGGAAGGTCACGCTTCCAAGACTGGTCCCACTGCAAACTTGGGGGCTCTGGGCTTCCTTTTCTGGGGCCACCCCGCAGGGCCGCGAGCGCCCTGGGCGCCGTGGCCGGCTCGGCTACCCGGCGCGCTGGCCGCGGAGAGGCCCCTGTGGCCGCGGGTTTTGGTTTGTATGGAGCCGGGATGGCCTCCTCCGAGCGGACTTGATGTATTTCTAGGGAATTTTGGTGCCTTGGGATTTATAGCGGGATCTCCGCTCGCCAGCCTCCGAGAAGGCCCTCAGTGGGCCCTGGGGGGCCAGAGACCAGGTTGTGCGGGGGCCCAAGGGTGTATAGAGGGTGAGGGAGGCCGAGGGTTCCTTTCTTTCAAGGGATTGCGCTGCTGATCGTGGGCCACCCAACTTTGGGGGCTCCAGGGAGGCGCGGGGAGCCAGGCTCCGGGGGGGTGGCGCTTCCCGCGGCGTGCGCCCCGCGCCCCCCCGTGACATTTGTGAATAAGGCTCACCCGCTTCCCCGACAGGCCTCTGCCCCCTGCCCTCGCCTTGAACCCCCTCCCCCCATCCCACCCTCTAAAAAGCCTGGCTTACGAATCTTTAGACGCAATCTCTAAACGTTTGTGCCCGGTTTCTCGGGATTGTCATTTTGCACCCTCTCTGGTTTGGTCCCCCTACCTCTTATTTACACTCACTTCTTCTGTTTTCTTTTATTTTTCGGTAACTCGAGATAGCAATTTGAAATAGTGCACCCACTGTTCAGCAGCCGTGGATTCGGTGCTAATGGCCGAGGGCTTGCCGGACGGGAGTCGATCAGATCTACAAGTGTTTTTAAGCATTAAAATATTAACTATCAGGTTTGACTTGTTTTTTGGGGCCCTGGCAAAAATGGCAAGGGCATGCTGGACCGGTCATTTCTTATGGCTATAGGAAGGAGAAAGAATTATTACCCTCCCTCCCCCTCCCGCGCGCCCAGGCTTCTGCATGCTTGGGAAGCTGGGAGAGCGTTTCAGCCCGACCTCCTCCTTCAGGGCCAGTTCTTTCAGGCGGCGGGGGCCGGGCCAGTGGGGTTGCAGCTGTAGGGGAAACATAGTCCGGTTACGTTGTAGTTTTCTTGGGAGCCTGTGGGCATCCTGAACCGGGAGTATTCGGCTTAGGATCGGAGAGTTTGTGTAATAACCAAGCCGACCAAGCGACATTCCAGAGTAACCCTGAGAATTTCTTACAGTCCTCCCCTCCCCCTACGATGGAAGCCTCTCTGGTATTATTTTAAAATCCACTTAGCCATCTGAAAGGCCATCTGAATATTGAGCTTTGATGGTGGGCTTGCTGGCCTTCTTGACTCTTTGCAAACTCCTGCCTGTGACCGCTGGCAATCTTGCCGCAAGATCTCCTGAAACTCCAACAGTTGTGTTGCGCTGTAATTAGGAAACAGGGAAATTGTTAAAGGTAAATAAATGATTTCCCGGTGCGAAAAGGATGGCTCCCAACAACCCCGTCCCCTTTGTGGGCATTGTAGGAACCCTCGGCGTCTAGTTATTTTAATTGTGGACATAGCGGGTGGCCTGATGCTGTGACATCAGATGGAGTCTGAGAAGACATTTCTGAAGTCAGGAGGCAGTTTTAGTATTTGCGTGTCAAACACCAACAGACATCTTTAGTGTGCACAGGCCCTTCCTCCTCCTATCTGTTACCTGGGTTAGCTGATGTGCTCCAGAATTAAGGTTATTTAAGCCGGTAAGTAGAGCCATGGAAATGAGGCTGAGAGGCTGTTGTGTGTCACTCCTGACCTCTTCGATCAGAGAGGGCCGGCTTGCAATTCCAGATTTGATACAGCTGCCGAAGGAATCTATAGGCAAGATAGCGGTCTTTTCATGCTCATCTGAAATTCTTAGTGCTTCATAGAGTGTGTTTTTGAGGGCAAGGTGTAAAGACAAATTAGCTGTATGTTCTATTCTCTTCCGGACCCTCCTTGGTGGTGTTCTTTTGCTACATTTTCTGTGAACTTACGAGTGTACCTGTAAGCAGTTGCATCCTTTAAAAAGCAAACTCTTTGGATTCCTGATTTCTGCTTTTCTTTTTAAGAATGTGAAGAATTAAGGAGTATCATTAAATGGGCTTATGATGAATAATATTTTATCTCAAGAATAATGCTTTAATTGCTGGAGATGCCATAAAGCTTGATAGTAATAATTTTATTTTAAAATGACAGATTTCTACATCACATTAATTTAGACTTTGATACAGTAATAGGAACAGCTTTTAAAAAGATTCGAATACAAAAAAGCATTAAGGTGAGAGGTCTGGTTGAGTAGATGGGAGGTGATAGAACTGCAAATATTAGAATTGTGGTAACATTTGTATATTCTAAAGATAAGAATACTGTTACCATATTAAAGTAGATAGGAAAGAGTAGTTTTACATTTCTTTTTCCCTCCTGCTAAATGAGAATATGGGATACAGTGGCCGAAATTCCAGTTAGGTTTGAAATTCTTTTTAAGGGGTTGATTATTAGAGCTTTCACATCTTCTTTGATCCAAAGTTGTTTGCTTTTCAGCTGAAGCTGTTTGCTACTAGGTTGAACAAATAAATAAGCAGCATCTTGAATTCATTTTTGAACTTGGAATCCAGCATTTAAAGGAAACCAAGAGGGGCCTATTATTCATTGGGGTTTTATTTAGCCGGGCAGCAGCTTCTCTTTCTGCCTGGTGAAAAATGGATGTTTTCTCCTCGCTCAAACAGCATAATCCTTTCTAATACAAAAGATTTAGACCCCGGAGTGTGAAGGGTTAATGGTGGTCCTTCCCCATTGTCCTCCTACCCCCCACCTTCACCCCTGATTGTTTTGACAACACTTTTCAAAGTGTGACATTCCAAGCCCCTACATAACAATGTAATATTACTGTAATTACACAGGTCATTACATTTTAAATAGAGAACAATAAAATGCTTATTGCCCTGAAAAAGAACAGGTGTTCTTGCCCTTCTTTGGTATTTATGCTAATTGTTTTTCATCTCCTTCAGAAATATTTATGGCAAACATGTTTAGATTTCAGTCTCAATGCAGAGTATTAATTCCGTGCTAATCTTTATAGGTTGGGGTTTAATGTCTGCAGTTTGGATTATGGGCTCAACATTCACCCAGTAAGTCATATTTTAATGATTATAAATTTAATATGCCAATGTTTTGCAGTTTGTTGAAATGAAAGCTTTCTGAAACCCCAGAAACAAACTATGAGGCAGTCCGGGAGTCTGGAGTGTTTATCTGGAAAAAGTGTTTTTGGAAACTTTTGACTGCTGAAGGGAGGTGGCTTTCACTGATGCCCCCTATCTGATTGAGAAAAGCTTTGGAGGAAAACAGTCCCCGCTCTGGCTAGGAGTTTTCCACCTTGATTTTAATTTTACTGATATGGATTTCATTTAGGGTCCCTGCTGGAAGCTGGTCAGCTTTCTGTTTCTTAGCAAGCTGTGAAAAAGTTACAGGAAGGTTTCCGGGGGCTGGCAGATCAAGAATGCTGTTCTGTTAGCAGCGCAGGATTACTGCAGTTCTGCACGCTATTAAAAAAATATTTGCTTTAGAAAACCAGCATTTTAATAGTTGCACCAGAGGCTGTGCTTTTAAAGATTACAGTAGAAGTCTTTCCAGGTTTTGAATGCCTCCTCACATCCCACGAGGTGCCCGCGTGCAAACGAAAAGCGCCTAGATTTCTTGGTGGAGAAATGTTGGTGCAACTTCTCTTACACATGCACAGGGGGTAAACTAGAAGGTATCTAAGAGGATTTTACATTTTGTCAGATGTTTCACAACAGGGGCCCCCGAATCACATTAAAAATGCACTGCAGAGAAAGGACAGCTGCAAATTTTTGTGTGGACCTGTGTTTCTGGACCATGACTAAAACTCCGAGGACCTTTTCCCCAGCTGTCTGGAAGTTCTGTGAAAGTTGGTTTATTGGCAGTTAAGTCTGAGGCAACCTGGATTTAGCAGAGGCTCTCTCCTACACAGGAAATAGATGACATTATATTGGGGGAAGGGACAAAACTTCAGGCAAGCAGTGATTTACTCCTTTATTTTTTTAAAACATGGCGTTGCCAAATAAATAAGCACTTTCCAGGGAAGGAGGTGTAAGCTTTTTTAGTCTTGGTGAGTGGAATTAGATAATATCTTTAACCACATTTATAACTGTTTCGAGGTGACACATTTCAGAAGTTTTGAGAAGGAGCGGGGTGAATCAAATTCTTGAGGCTTTATTTTTGAAGGGGGTGTGTGTTGTGGGCGTCTGAGTTTCTTCTGGGAGTGGATATTGGCAACCGTGTAAGTAAATCTTCAACTCTGACTTATAATTGAGCACGTTTGTGAAGGAAATGGTTAATTTTACAACCAAAGGCAAACTTGCACCTCCACAGGTCTGCTGAAAGAAATGTGCCCCAGTCCTTTGCTGGCAAGCGCCACGGGTCATAAATCCATAGGCTTTATTTACAGCCCATAACACTTATGAATGTTAAGATATTTGACGCCACTTTGGCCTTATAATATTCAAGGTCCGCAGACACTGGCAGTAGCTCAGATTTCTCTCACTAATTATAAGCAATGAGATGGGGGTGGGGTGTGGAGACCCCTTCGCAAAAGCTGCCCTCTCCCCTCCTCTGACCCCCATGCCTACAATCTGAGCTTACTGAGACAGACACCCCCTCCTCCTCTGGCAGCTGACTTGTACTTTTCCTCCCGGCTATTGTTACACCCATTTATAAAGAGCACTTTCAGTAATGGAAATTCAGTTGCGTGGGTGGGAGGGGCTCGGCACAAATGCCTTTTTTCAAAAGCAAAGTTGCTCTAGGTGTTTGCATCTTTTTTCCTTTTCTTCTGGCTTCTCCCTTTTTCCTTTCTTGCTTTTTTTTTTTTTTTGAGACCCTCTTGCCTATATTGTGCATATTTCCCAGAATACTTAAAGAAACCTGATAGGGGAGATGGGTCTTTATACGATGTTCCACTGAGCTGGGAGGGAAAGTACACACATTGCATAGTGTGCTAGTTAACGTGAGGGTTTAAAAAGAAAAAAGTGCCATAGAGTGAGGAGAGTTGATTAAAAGAATTAATAGATGAGAAAAAGATTCCAGATTTACCTTGGGAGTGGGAAGGCCATTCATTTGGGGGAAGTGCACTGGTATCTGGGGG